AATTAAGTCCAAGTTTTCCCAAGTCTGTCCATCACTTCACTAGGAGAGCAGCCTGAGGCTGGCATGCGCAAGGGACAATAAGGCTGTGGTTGAGATGCCAATTGTAATTTTCTGAAATGTTCAAGAAGATGGTGAGCTCTGTAACAATTGAAAACTGGGGAAGTCTTGAAGGAGAAAGTAAACTTTGAATGAAATAGGATGACACCATAAAGTTAAACTGAAGTGCAAGACCACATCAGTGGTGGGGTTGTAACTCAGGGATAGAGTGCTTGCTTACCTAGTGAACTCAGGGTTCTAGGTTCGAATCTTGTCATTTCAAACTGGAAAAAAACAGCAACAAGACAGCAATAGTCCTCCAAAAATATTTTCAGTTAACTGTCTTTACCTAGCTTACTTTTCTGGGAGATTAAGGATATAAATGATTTTCAGTTTTTAAATAATAATTTGGGACAACAAAGATATATAATTGGCACATTGCTCTTCGTAGTTCAGATCATTTTAAAACTAGGTTCAGCAAAGAGCCCTGTTGGAGTAGAAACATTTCCAGAAACATCACTCTCCATCCCTTAATCTGAGAAGTATGAATTGTTATTAATTTTGACTGAATTATAGTTTATTTTTGCTTGAGACTAAACATGTTTCGTAACTGTGCATGCTCAGTCCCTTGCCAATGGGTGATGCATAGGTCAGTCCTCAGACTTAGCTTGAAGTGTGGACCTGGTTTTCCCTGACAAAATAGGATGTCTTTGAGGCCCATTTGGAATTTGGAACGACGTTTCATTCCTCTGGCAATCTCACCTGCATGTCAGCCAAAGTACACTGACTGTCTGTCATCCTTTCTGTGAGGACAGGGTTATGGCATTGTAGCTGCAGTTTCTTCCATGAATTAAGATGCGTGCTTTTTCTCTGAAGGTGCTCAGAGAACAAGTCAGGAAGGGGAATGGCACATTGGGATTTGATACAGGGAATTCTGTGACAATGGAAATTATAGCAAGTTCTCAGTACACAGTGTCTAAACCTGCCTTGCCTGGGGAGAGTCAAGGTTCTGCTTTATAATGAAAGGGCATTTGTCTTGGGAATAGACTGAGGCTCAGTTCTGTCAGGCAAAGTCCAGCCCAGGAACAGGTGAAGGTAGGTATGTTTGGTCTCATGGTCATGATGCCTCACACAGTACTGGGTGAACATGCTAAGGAATGTCAAGGCATGAAGGTGGGCCCTAGAACCCAAGGAGAAGGCTTGATCAGGAGAAGTGCCTAGGTGTGTCATGAGGAACCATGGCCATTAACTCTCTATATTTAGTTTCTAGTGCAAAGCAGATCTGTTCTAATGACCTACAGGGCAATGTGACTATATTTTTTAACAGAAGGATCACCAAGCTTAGACTAGAAATGCAAGTGATTCAAGTATGTACCAGGGACTGTGAACCCTTCCCAGTTCACAGGGATCTTGTTTCTGCTAAGATGAGCTTTTGTCCAGCCTTGCTGCCAAAATTCTCCCAATGAATGCTCAGGTAACTGGATGCTGTTATCTATCAAAAAAAAAAAAAAAAAAAAAAAAAAAAAAAAGAGGAAAGTAACAGTGAATAAAATTATTGCCAAAGGAAGAGAAATTCTGATATATGAGAGGTTGCAATTGTGTACTTGTGATTTTGGGTGCTTTATTAAATCTATCTTATTTGAGACTTTTAGGTCTGTAGATATGGTGGTTTGATCCCCTGGAACACATATACTGGCTGTGGTAGTGCTCACCTGCAATCCCAATACTTGAGAGGTGGGGGTAAAGGGATCAGAAGTTCAAGGTCTTCATAGGCTACATAGTGAGTTTGAAACCGGCGTGAGTTATGTGAGACTAGTTAAGGGAAACCCATAGATAGATAGATAGATAGATAGATAGATAGATAGATAGATAGAAATGTAGAGGTAGATACATTTATGATGCATATTTTGGCCTAGAATTTGGCAAATATATTTAGTTTTAGTGACCTGTCTGGTTTGGCTAGGGGCTGTTGGGTGCCCAGTGAGTATGGCCTTGTTGTAGCCATCATATCTTCTGGGCTTCACTCTGAACTTTGGTGGTGGCTGTATTTCACATTACAGCTAGATCTTTTTGTTGTCTAGTTCCTGTTGATCAGCTCATATAATCTTTGAGATAAATATTTTGAAGCAGAGAGGACTCCCCTGCCCCAACTCTTTTAATTGAGTTTTAAAATTATTTTGAGATTATAGGCACATCATTTCCCCCTTCTCTCTTCTCCCTCCAACTCCTCCCATAGTTCCCTTTGTTCTCTTTAAGATCCATGGCTTCTCTTCTCTTTAACTGTACACACACACATACACACACACACACACACACACACACACACACACACACCAGTTTCTAAATATATAAACACAACCTGCTCACTTTATATAATGTTACTTGCATGATTATGTTTTCAGGGCCGACCATTTTGTAGTGGATATTCAATGGGTGTGATGTTTCCTGAGGAAGTCTCTCTCTCTCTCTCTCTCTCTCTCTCTCTCTCTCTCTCTCTCTCTCTCTGAGACAAGGTCTTGAACTTATTATGGAGATAAGGATGAATAAGGATGACTTTGAACTTTTGATTCTCTTGCGTCATCTGTGGTGTTGGGGATTAAACACTGGGTGAAGTACATCCCCAGCCTCTAGAAGTGGAAACTTTAGGAAGAAACCCTGTATACCCAAATGTAGAAGAAAATCTCACATTACGAAGACAGGGAGATTCTCTTCAAGGCCCTGGACACAGGGAGGGAGTTAGTTCATGTTATGAGTGACATAACATGCAGGTTTCCTGCAGGTATGAGGCAGTGAGATATGAGGAAGGAGAGATCTGAAACACACTTGAGGAAAATCCCAGGCATGATGCTGAGCAATACTAGACAATGGTAGGTGAGGGAGAGCCAGAAATCAAGGCTGCCGAGGCGAGGGAAATCAAGGGCTGCTGTTCTAAAGTGCGCTGTCAAGTAGGACACTCATGTGGATGTAGTCGGGAAGTTCTGCTTCTATTTCTTTCTGCCCCCTTTCTTGAGCCTCCTTTCTTAAGGCAGCCACAAAGGAGAGGAAAAGGCCAGCAGGAGGTCAGAGCCCACAGGATGAATCACTGGGTGCGGCAGGCACTTGTGCAATTGGAGCCCAGGAAGTGGAGCGGGAGTGAAGTCAGCGTCACATCCATCGCTGTCATCCGCTCCATGCTTGTTTTCTGTGAGGCAGTCAGGGAGAATGAGCGTTTCATTGTTTACATTCTCATCTAGAGCAGACTGTAATGTTTTCTTCTACTCCGAAGTATGTGGGATGAGGGAGGGAGGGACTGAGAGAGGGAGGGGCGGGAAAAGGGAGGGAGGAAATCTGTTCACCCCGACTTTGCAGCAGATATCCCATCTCTCAAATAGTGCTGGGCATTTCTTTTATTCATCAAAAAACAATGTATTTATTGTGGAAAAGGTGGGAGGGGTAAATGAGGCAGAAATGCATAGCTGTGAACTCAAAGCAATATATTTTGGAAGTAATCCAACCTCACTTTAGACGTTTGTATGTATATATGCAAATATATCTATTTTTCCTTTTACATAAATGGTTTCCTATTTTTATCCAAGGATTTAAAACAGTTAATTACGTGGATTTATTTGTGTATGTCTCTCTCTCTGTGTGTGTGTGGGGGGGCATGTATGTCACGAGTACATGCATGGAAGTCAGAAGACAGCTTGTGGGAGTCAGTTCTCTCCTACCATGTGGGTCCGGGGATTGAACTCAGATGCCCAGGCTTGGTGGCAAGCACCTTCACCTGCCGAGCCATCTCACTGACCGCTTAGCTCTTATGGCCGGTCTTTGTTCAGAGGATGCTGAACTGCACGTGTGGGTCTGAGGTAAACTCTGTGAATAGGGTTCACTTGAGGATTTGAGTCCGTGTTCCTTTCTTTCACTGCCTTGTGACACAGACACAGGCAGCTTCTTCCCTCAGTGTCCCGTCTGTGAGATGGGGAATGAATGCCTTTGTCTCCTAGGTTTTGCACTGAGAAGTAAATCAGATTAAAGGCAAACAGGGAGGGCTTGGGGCATGCGCTGTCAGGGTGCCCGGAGACCTCAGCATGCATTAGTTTGCTTTTGAGTGTGAAGTCCACGCATGGAGAGACCCTTCCCCCTTCCTCTTGTCTCCAAGAGAGCTGGGACCATTGGAACATCTGACTCCTAATTTTCACCTTTGTTGCCGTTCACCAATGTTGAAATGTTTCCCAGGCTGTCTATTTTCTGTTTCTTTTGGAGACTCAGCATTGAGCATTTTTTTTAATTCATTGAGAATTCTATACATACACACAATGAACTATTATCACATATACCCCATATATCTTCATATCTTCCTTTATTCTTCTCTTCTTTGGTAACTGATTAAAGTAAATCACTGCTGCTCGTATGTGCAAGGACAAGGAGGGCCAGCTATTGGGACATTTTAACTTTCAGGTTTTTGGCTTTCTACACCATCGGCTTTGGGATATGCAGAGAAAATGTAGATAAGATATCTTAGTAGAGCCCACAGGCAGAGATTAAATTTGTTCTTTTCTAATAAGGCATATTTTATGACATTCTAAAGTGAGGCGCGGGCACACATACACTTATGTGCATACAAGAACAGATGTACACACACGCACACATAGACACACATTCACAAACAAACACACACACAGACATTCATTCACATACACACACAGGCGCACACATACATTCACATAACACACATGCACACACAAGCACACACACAGACATGCATTCACACACACACACACACAGGTGCACACATACATTCACATAACACACATGCACACACGTACAAGCACACACACAGAGGCACATACACATGCATGCATACACACCATGAACCTTTTCCAGTGCTGTCACATTCTGGTGAAATGCCTTCCTTTTGAAGGCTACAGGGACCGGAGACTACTCCATGGCTCACTTTTTTTTTTTTTTTATTTGCTTCTCTGCAGGGACACACTGTGAACTATACAAGGACCCCTGTGCTAACATCAGCTGTCTGAATGGAGGTACCTGCGACAGCGAGGGCCTGAATGGCACCTGCATCTGTGCGCCAGGGTTCACAGGTGAGTGTGTTTTCAAACTCACCACATAGTCCCACGGTTGCGAGGTTAGACAATCCCCAAACCCTCTCCCATGAATGACTGCAAAGCAGAGATGCCATTGTGCAATGCTAGGAGACATGGCTTCAGTGAGACCGATTTTAAAACAATAGACAACATTGTCATTAAACTAGGCTTTTCTGAAACTAGGATTTGTCATTTAGATTTGCTGATACTGCCATCACTGTACATTTCCAGAGCAAGAACATTGAAGCATAAGCCACAAGCCTTTATGGGAACACTTGAAAATGTTAGTGTTAACGTAATATGAAGGGTACCTGAAGGATTGAATGTGCTTTCTGTGTGAACTCCAACTCAGACACTTATTTTTATTGAATGTTGTAAAAGTAACACAATCTCGAGAACTGGAGATGATGGGTAGTGTTGGGGAGGGAGCGTTCAGGGTCAAATGGGAATGTGAGGACAGACTGGAGTGGGTAGCAAGAGTGGACTGTGATGGTTGCAGACACAGGAGCTGGGTTCACCCTAGTGTCAGTGGTTTCTGAACACAGTTAGGGAGTTGCTTCTAGATTGTGGGATCCAAGCTAAGATGACTTCTTATCCAAGCTCCCCAATGTGAGCTCAGGGAGCTTGCAAATCTGTGAAAGCAGAAGTGAAGTGTGGTATTGGATGTGTTTGTCTATGGGAAGGTTCTCAGTTTTCATCAGATTCTCAAAGGAAATCAGAAACCGTGAGAGTCCAGAATATTCCAAATTTCAACCTTGGTTTTCCCTGCAGAACTCAGGAGCCTTGAAAACTAAAGAATAAGACAAGGTCAGAGGCTGGGGACATAGCTTAGTGGTAAAGTGCTTGGTGTGCAAGCATGAGGACCTGAATTGCATCACTGGGACCCACATACAAGAGCTGAGTGAGGTGGCACACTTGTCTTCCCAGAGCTGGGAACGGGAGACAGGCAAGTCCTCTAAGCTCGCTGACCATCTAACCTAGTTAGTTACTTGGCAAGTTCCAGGTCAGTGGAAGACCCTGTCTCAAAACACAAGGTCATTGGGTCCAGAAGAACACCATTCAAGGTTGTCTCTTGCACTCCACATATATGAGCACATATGAGCATTTATGACCAAACACGTGCATATCCATATGTCCATGCAATAGTCAATGCACACATACATGCACATAAAAAGAACACAGGGTCTACAGTTCTGGTATTTTGATTCCTCCACTATGGGTTTGGAAGAAGGCTGCACATGGAAGAAGGCAAGGGCTCTGTAAGAGACACATGCCATCCTCTGCTGGGGACTACCTTGGTAGGCTTGACCTCTCCTTCTGGGCCACTGTGGTCACCTCCAAACTTTATAGCACTCTGCAGAGTCCACTCACTAGGCTTTATCTGTTTACCCTTTGGGAAGGTGCCAACTGCCAAGTGGCTGGAGGAGGAGCAACTTCTGATTTTTCTGTTTATCCGTTTTACACCCTGTGTTTTCCTCTTGGGTTGTTCTGAGACTGAGAAGTCGGCTTGCTCCAGAAAATGATTTGCAGATGGTTTTGTTTATCTGGTGGCTTATAAACACAGAGAGACATTTATATATTAGTCAGTGGAGGCAAAAATATATATATTCCTGGGTCTTTTCCAGAAATTTCTATCTTACTACTACTACTACTACTACTACTACTACTACTACTACTACCACTACTACAAAAAAAAGCAAAGAAGAAATTAGAAGATATAAAGCTATTGAAATAACTCATCAGTTAGCATCATATGACTGAGAAATAGCATTATTAATATATTGACATACAAGAGTTTTCCTGAAGTGTATGTGTGTACATATATGGACACAAATGGAATAATAATATCCATTTTTTGTAGCCTACTTTTAATGTAGACTAAAATACATAAATAATCAATGTGTTTCCATGATAAGACTTATACCTTTACAATATTTATTTTATATTTTTTTGTTTGTATGTATGTGTAAATGTGTGTGTACATGTGTGCAGGTACCCACAGAGGCCAGAAGGGGGCATTTGATCACTGGAGCTGGAGTTACAGGTGGTTGTGAACTGCCCAGTATGGGTGCTGAGAAGAGAACAAGGGTCCTTTGGAAGAGGACCCTAAGCCTTTATTTTTTAAAGCATTTTCATTGGTTACTGCTACTCTATGGAATGTCATGATTCATTTTTAGTTCGTCTTCCATTTTATTTTTGGCAGTTAAGAATGTTTCCAAATTACAACAATAATGAAAGGAATGCTTCTACACATACAATTTTCTATATGTGCTCCCCCTCCCAACCGTGCTTTAGTACAATTCTCTATGAGAAACAAAACCAAATGTCAACTTTCACATTTATGACATGACTGTCTGTTTCCTTGTTTTGATGCACCCCCCCCCCCCAATTGTCACTCTGATAGGCAACAGTGCTATTTTATTATTTAATTTGTAGGTCTGGTGCTCAAAGAGTTGAACATTTAAAAAAAAAACATTTCTTGTCAAATTTTATGAACACTCTCCTCATAACTTTGTCTGCTTTTCTGCTAGACCATTCACACTGATCTTTCTAGCCATCTAGTTCAAGTGCATTACCTTTTATCTGTCAAGATCATAGATACATTTTTCTTTTTTACTTGCCTTTCAAGTATGTATAGAACATTTTGTTTTATATGTAATATGTTTAAGCTTTACATAATTAAATATTGACTCTCCCCTTCTGTTCTTGTTTATCATATGGCTTTAACTATCAAAGCTTTATTAATACCCCCTCTATCATTATAACCATGTATGAGTTAATTTTGAGCATTTACATCTTTAATGTATTTGAAATTTACTTTGATAATTTTTGGGATAGAAAATAGAATATTCATTGCAGATTTAGTGAATCTCCAACTGCCAATTTAGTAAACTGTCTTAGAGATAGCAAACACACACCAAATTCATAGATTATCCTTTGTTTTCTCCTTTAAGTGTTCAAATGTTGGATAGTAATTCAGATGGTATTATTGCCACTATAAATTGCTCTGCCTGGAAACTGTGGAATAATTTTGATCCTTTGCCTGTATGTATGTACAATGTGTGTGCCTAGTACCTATAGAGACTAGAAGGTAGTGCATGATCCTCTGGGCCTGGTGTCACAGGTGGTTATGAACCACCACCTGGGTGCTGGGAATTGAACTCAGGTCCTCTGAAGCATTTCTCCAGCCCCTTACCTTCTTTTCTTTTTCTTGCTTACCTGCTTCTTTGTCAGTGTATCTGAGACCTAGTAAAATTCACAGTTGGCCAACTAGTGAGTGTTTGGGAGCCTCTTCATTGGCCAACGAGTGGAGCTTTCCTGCTCTCCAAGCCTGGCATTCTTCTCTCTCCATAGGATCACAACCCAGTGTCGATCCTCTCCATCTTTCAGTTATTGGCTTGGCATCCACCCTTTCCTTCAAGGCTTTGTTCATCTGTTAGCTGTATAGTGAGAGCTCCCCATGGCTTTGGTTTGGGTTTCTTTATGGCAAAATGATGATAACAATTGTTTGTTCTTATTTTTATTTTTGATATCTGAATATCCTCCTCCATGGTGAAAGGCCTCTTCATGTCTTTTGTGCATTTCCCAGTCCTGTCACAGCACTTCAAGGCCTCCTGTATCAGCAGCGTAGCTTGTGGTTGCTGATGGCCTTCTTCACTAGCTGAGATGGTGCTCATTAGGTTTTCCACCATCATTTCATATTCCCTCCTCTACCATGCTGCACTGTGTGGAACGAAGTCACTTGGCACAGTGGAGGCTATGCTTCCCTGTATGAGGGTGGAGTGGCTGAAGGACTACTTGGAGTACTTCCTGTGAGAGATTTGTTTATTCTCCCCATTTATTAGTTTGTTCAACCATTTATTTATATTAGTTAGGGCTTATGAGTACTTAGTGGATGGCTTGTGTTACAGGACAACACAGTTTATTTTATTGCTCACGATGTTCCCACTTTGGGCACTGGGAGGCCTTTCATTTGACTCCCATACCCCTTCCACATATCCCCATATGGGTGTGGGGGCTGCTGCTTTGTTGTGTTTCAGCACTTGTGTGCAGTCTCATCTTGTCTATTTCCTGCTCTCATCCTGGAGTCATCCATTTCTCCTTGGAGAATAATTGAAGTAAACATCTAGGCACTAAAACTACTTGTTGCTGTTAGGATGTCACTGCTATCAGAGTGTCTTGGCTGACAAGCAAGGGCGGTTGTGTGCACATACTAATTTGTGCATCTGGTGCACATAAATCTTACGATGCATCTCTCTGTACCTTTATTAAGTTTAATGGGAATTCATGGTGTTGGCCAAATTCTAATCCAGCACCACCAGGATCATTCTGGTCTTTTATTTATCCATAACCCCTGCCCAACCCAACACACAATAATAGCAATGTAAATGATGCACACTCTCCATTCATTCTACTGTTTTAATTCCAACATGCACTATAGCAGCATCAAATTTCTACCTTATGTTCTTTTAGAAAGTCACTTTTCCCACTAGAATACAGGGTCTGCTTATAGCTCATATTCATTTAGTTTAACCAGGCCTAAGCCAGGCATAGTGGTTCAAGCCTATAATCACAGCACTCCAGAGGTAGAGGCAGAAGTGGCTACATAGTGTGTTCAAGGCCAGTTTAGGCTACGTAAGACCCTGTCTCAAACAACAGCAACATCCTGATTGGACTCATTTTCAAAGTTATTAGGTCAATAGCTCCCCTGCTACAGCCTTGTCCTTCAGCGAAGCTTCTTCTATCTAGTTACTTTTCTTCATAGACTGCATTCCATCATGGACTTTCCCAACTAGATGTTATTTATTTTTTTTTCCATTTAAATGTTGCTTCATTAGTTAAAAAAGCCATCTGTTTCTCTTTTCATTGAGCTGCTTTTGAACCTTGGTCAAAAATCAATTGGCAAATATTTGCATTGCTCTATTTTGAGTTCCTTCTTTTTTGTTGATTGATGTGTCTGTGCAATTACCATCCAGCCTTGATACCTAAAATCTACCATAGCCATATGACTTTTGAAAGTGGGCAGGTGGACTCCTATCGCTTTATCCTCTCTTCCTCCTTTTGTTCAAACTCGTTTGGATGCTGGCCATTGCATGTTAATATGGTGAGAGATATGACCATCTATTTTTTTTAAATACTTATCTTTTTATGTTGATCAATTTTGGTTTGACCCTCTCCTGTGGTGGTTATTGTGTCCTACTCCTTAGATGGAACCCTTAGTGGCTTCACTGATGCACTGTGGGTAGTGAACCTTGAATGCCCCCTATCACCCTAGTTACTTGGGTATTCAAGGCATACACACTATTTGATAGCAAACTGTAGTGAGAGAACATCATTCTGGGATACAGTGTACTTTAGCATTCCATGTGCTTTATTTATCGCATGCTATCTTCTGAAGTAGCATCCCGTACATATGACCTGAGCCTCTACCAACACCAGCTTTTGTCTCCTTAGTTCAGTGAAACCATTGTGTTTGAGATCTTCTGCAGGTGGACTTTCAGGGGAACTGTGCTGCTCAGTTGCCACATTTTGCATCTTGCAGCTAGACACCAGGACTGCCTGGTGTCTCATTCTTTAAAGAGTTTTATTTTTCATATATTTTATTCATTCTTCTAGTTTATAGGAGTGGTTAAGAAAGGTTCTGATTTTTTTTCACCACAATAGGAAAAGTTCTAAATTTTTGAACCTTGCTTTGTCTATAATAAAATCCTATCAAAGTATGAAGGAACAAGCTAAAGTGCCTGTCTGGAGCCTGACATAGTCTTAATGTAGAGATTGTGGTTGCAGGGATATATACCTTTCATCATGGACTCTACTAACTCAAGGCTTTATTAACTGTAATGACTTTGGATAGTTTTTGGTTGTTTTATATTTCCTAACTTATACAAGGGAAGCCTTACAAATGAGTCAATATGATTATAGCCTTCTATAAGCATTACCCAGTATACATATTATCCACGTTGCCTCTTAGCAAACAGTAGATTGAGGGCCAGAGCAGCTTAGTCAAATGCTTGCCATGCAAGTGCCTGAGTTTGGATCTTCAGCACCCATGTGAAAAGTGGGGCACAGGGAAGGGGAGGGTAGAGAAAGTGGAGTCCCATGGCTTACTAACTACCTAGCCAGTCTAGCTAGTTAGTGAGCTCTGGGTTTGGTGAGAGACCTTGTCTCAAAAAATAAAATGGAGGCTAGAGAAATGGCTGAGCAAATAAGAGCCCTGGCTGTTTTTCCAGAGGACCTGAGTTTGTTGTCCAGTGTCCACATGGTGACTCACAACCATCTATGACTTCAGTTCCAGGGGACCCGACACCTTTTCCTGGACTCTTCTGGCACCAGGCATGCATGTGGTATGCAGACATAAAACACTTGTACACATTAAAAAAAATAGAGCATGATAGAGAAAGACACCTAGCTTCACCTCTGGCTTCCACATACATGTAAACCTACGTACATCTACGTGCACATGCATGGACATGAGAGTGCAGAGAGAGAAACAGGGAGGAAGAAGGAGAGGGAGAGAAAACAATAGATTGAAAGGAAATTGTAAAGGTTTCATGTTCAGGGCCTAATTGGTAGCCTAAGTCAAGGAGAAGTATTGTTTTGCATTTCTTCATAAGTGCTATTCAAGAATAGTAGTCACTTAAGAGCATTGCATTTTTTTCTAATTTAGGTGAAAGATAATAATAAACAAATCAACTAGAAAGACAACTGTCTCAGGCCCACGAAATCTCAGACACATTAAGTTGACAATTAATAAATAGACATAACTGGCACTAAGAACCCTTCTAGTAAAATAAGACAAAATGCATGTTGACTGGAAACTATGCCAGCGTGTTGAAATGCATGGAAAGAATGCCTGGGTGGGACCTTGCTTTTAATCTCAACCCTTGGGAAGATGAAACTTGAGGCCTGCCATGAATTTAAGGTCACATGGTACACAGAGGGTGTGGCATTGACCTTGGGCTTGCTGGAGTAGAGTGGGGCTTAGGGCTTGCCAGACTGTGGCTGTGGAGATTGGGAAGAGCCAGGCTGTTGCTATCACTGTTGCTGTTTAGATCATGGGCATCTCATTTCAGAATTTTCCATGTTTAGCTTCCCAGCTGAAGCAAGCTATTGTTTAGAAAATTATCTCCATTAAGGCTGGCTTCCTGAATGGGTGGAAAGTGGCACTGATGTATTTTTCTGTCAGAGTTTTGAATTTTGTCCGCAGCCTTTCTCAGGTGCTGTGTTTTTTAACTAGTCTACCATGTGATGCCATCAGTAATGGTGTAGTCAGTCAGTGCCCTTCTCTCAGAGCGATCACCCCACCGATACACAGTGACTACATTTTAAACAGGTTAAAACAGGTTAGCACGAGGCAATCAATTTGGTGTCCTTTCTATTGCTATAAATTACTGCATTTATTGCAAGAAACAAATTTACCGGACGTGACTGGATTACAGTCGTTTCAGGATGACCCAGAGACAGTGAGTGTTTTGTTCGGCAGGTTTGGGTTGCAATAGTCAGATGCCAGGTATGCAGAGTGTGAAACAGAACAGACATGAGAATTTTCCCTGTGAGATTCTTCCTCTGAAGTGATCTGTGAGTAGCATATGGCAGTTCTATAAATGTGAAGTAAACCAACAGCAGATAGAAAGGCAATTTAATGCTAAATAAGCCCAAAAGTAATTACTTGACTACCCTGAAATATTGTCTCCTGAAGATGGGAACAAAATATTTGGTTTTGTTCTTTGTTGACTGTGATGATGAGAGTAGTTTTGTTGCCCCCCCCCACTTCCTCTTCATTTATGTAAGCAAATGAGGGCTTACTTTAAAAAAAGTTCTCTTTTCCATTTAAGAGAGATTGCCTTGTTGTGAAGTGTCCTCTTCAGCTTTGATGAGAGGCCCTTAGGTTTTAAGGAGTGTATCCATCTTGTATCCATTCAATGTTGTGGCTGTAAAATTGTCCAAGGGTGTCCTTTGTTCATGAAACTTTTGCCAGCAAGATACTTCTTACAGGGGTTGTTTTGATCACAGTGATGCTGGCTTGTGGGCTTGTTTGGCATGCTACTGCAGGTTCTGTAGGCAGGTCAGAAAGCCTGGGATGCTGGGTCTTAGCAGGCAGGATTTGGACATCTTCCTTGTGCTGGAAGAACAGACTGGAGTGGATGTGAGCATCCTTTGGATCACCATTTTCCAGGAAGGAGTGTGTCAGCTTTGGGCTAATCTCGTGTTTGTGACTGTCACCCTGATTGGGCCTGTGATGCTCCCCCTGAGATTTACAGTCCCTTCCCTGCCAAATCTAAGCATATAGCAGGATTAAGAAAGGAGAATCAGTTTTCACAAACAGCTTGAGCTGGGTATACAGCTGTGTCTACTAAAGAGCCAATGTCCGAACCAGCAAACTCAAATACTTGGCTACAAAATAATCGCAAACTGTGAATGTTTACTTCCTGGAACTTCAGAAAATGGCATAAGATCCAGCTACTGACTCCTAAGTAGAGTGGACTTTAACAACATTGGGAACCTAAGTTTGCCTTTCAGGTCAACCTCCAAAGGGTTATTCAGATGCGAGAATAACTTTACTTCATGGGTTCAAATAGAGAGTCTTCTTAGCAATGCCTTTTCTCTATTCAGTTTTACTTAAAAGTGAAAAATTCCTTGTCTGGAATTTTCCAAGGGTTCCTTACTTTGTGCAAATAGTAGGCTGGGCTATGTGATCATTAGCCTGAGTTTTCGCTTTCTTTCTTTCTTTTTCTTTCTTTCTTTCTTTTTTTCTTCCTTCCTTCCTTCCTTCCTTCTTTCTCCCTTCCTTCCTTCCTTTTTTAATTTATTCATTCTTTATTTGACATGCTTTGGTGTTTCATCCACATATATGTCTGTGTAAGTCCAAGATCCCTTGGAACTGGAGTTAGAGATAGTTGTGAGCTGCCATGTGGGTGCTGGGAATTTAACCTAGGTCCCCTGAAAGAATAGCCAGTTCTCTTAACCACAGACCCATCTCTCCAGTCCTTCATTCCTTCCTTTCTTCCTTCCTTTCTTCCTTCTTTTCTTCCTTCCTTTTCTCCCACCCTCCCTCCCTCCCTACCTTCCTCCCTCTGTCTTTCTCTCTCTCCTTCCTTTCCTTTATCAAGGAACTCATAGGTGATATGGGTGCAGCTAATCACTGTTACTTTTCTTTATCTTCCTAGGTGAAGAATGTGACATTGACATCAATGAATGTGACAGTAACCCTTGTCATCATGCTGGAACCTGCTTGGACCAGCCCAATGGTTACACCTGCCACTGCCCTCATGGCTGGGTGGGAGCAAACTGTGAAATCCGTAAGTATTTCATCTGTGGGCTACTTAGTTTGTGTTTTTCCTTCAGCAAGAAGAGGATGCTAACAATGACCAGAAAACCCTTATACCAATGACAGTGAGGTCCTGTGGCTCAGAGGGACCATTTCAGTCATCCCCATCTCTAGAGTCCAATTAGTACTTTTGTCTCTTGTTTTCCACCATGCCTGTTCCTTGAGATTGCATCCAGCCTTTCCACTGGCGATGAGCATCTTCAGATGTCATCCAAAGTTCACTGTTACTCAGTCAGCCAAAAAGTGTGCTTCACAGACAAGTGTTAGAATGCCATAAAAAAAATAAATAAAAATGCAGCCTCTGCTTTGGAAAGTCTAAAAAGCCACACAGGATTCGAATTCACGCTGCCTTTGTGTTTTTCAAGTATCTTTGAATATAGCAGGGTCCTTCAATTGCTTGAAGAAGAAAAGTCGAGTAAGGATGAACATGGATAGATGTGAAAAGCACTGGGCTGTGAGTGAACAACGTGACATTGGAAATGTCAGGATCAGGGTCTGAGGTACTAGAACAGTGTAGCACCCTGATGGAGGTGACAATGACGGGCATGGGATTTTGTTTTTATCTGTTTTGAAAGCTGACAAATATGTACCATTGAAAGGCATTTTTCATATTTACTCAGGGTGGTAAGGTTGCATCTTATCCAACCAGGCTGGCTCTGGGAGTGCTACCCCCCAATCCCACATGATTCTCTGCATTGGAGTGGTATGCAAAGTGCTTCTTCCTGAACCCTCTCACCGCTGCTGTCCTCTGAAGGACAAGAGTAACTGGGCTTGGAGGGATGGCTCAGCCAGTGATTTCTGGAAAAGTATGCAGACCTGAGTTTAGAGCCTTATCACCTACACAGGAAGCCATGTGTAGTGGCATATATTTATAACCCTAATGCTTTGAAGGCAGACACATGAAGATCCCTCGGGTTTGCTGGCCAGTTAACAGCCAAATCCATGACCCACAAGTCCCAAATAGAGACCCTGTCTCAAAAACAAACAAGCGAACAACAAAACCAAACCAAAGTGGGTGGCTCTGGAGGAACAATACCTGAGCTGTCCTGGTCAAGGTATGGTCCCTCTCGTCTTTGACATCAGTGTCTCAGTTCTAGTCTGTTCTACGAGGTGGTCTGACAAGGTGTCAAACCTGTATCTTTTCTTGATAGCCAAATTCCTCAAGGTGGTCTGACAAGGTGTCAAACCTATATCTTTTCTTGATAGCCAAATTCCTCTTCTGACCACAGCAGGGCTTGGGTATCCCCTTCATCCAGAGAGAGATTCCCAGGAAAATTACAATTCCTTGGGGTCCACTGTTGTAATAGTATGATAGCCAAAAGGAGAGATACAAGTATCTCACTTTAGAGTACTTTCTTTCATACCAGAATGGTTACAATTTGTTTTTAGACCTTCATCATGAGGGATTTGATGAGAAAATTCCTGAAATATGCCCATACTTGAGGCAATTATTATAAAAAGAATAAAGCAAAGAGCCAATAGGAGAAGATAGTGTCTGGTAGCCATGCATAAGAGCCACCTCACCAGAGCATCTTGGCTTTAGTAACTCTTGAAAGGGTTGGCATATGTGACTCCATTTTTATTTTTTATTTTTTTGCTAGAAGAGATGGTCTCACTATGAAATCCAGACTGACCTTAGACTTACAGTCTTCTTGCTTTAGCCTCTCTTGAGGTACTGACTAAGCATGACCTTATTTCCATTCTGATAACTTCCTCCATTATCTCTGACCAATCTTCTGTGAAGATATTACTGATTAGGAGGTACACTTGAACATGAGAAGATGAGTCTGTTTGTGATCATTCCCTAAATTTGTAAGAGGGCTGAAGTTTTTATTTTTGTCCATGATGTAGATGCATGATTTTACCAAGCCAAAGGTTCTAAATTTTATTTCAAGAGTAAAAGCGGTACTAATATGTAAGGAACCTTTGTGTAGTTCTTCTGTGGATTGATTCTAACTGTTACTGCCTCCTTTGTGTGTTAAGCATAGTTATGCCCATTTTGTATTACACAAATCTTCTAAGATGCAAATTCAAGAGACCACTGTCTCCTGAATTGATAAAGTTAGTATGTTCCCATCTAGAATTGGGATTGGTGTTAACCCTTCCTAGGCTGATGTTCATGTACTCTTTACTGGGTGTAGCAATCTGGATAGACATTTATCACTTTTAGGGCTTGAAGTATATTTTTCATGATTCCCTGGTTTTGAGGGTTGCTGATGAGAGATCTGAGGTTATTCGGACATTTTTGCATTTGTAGGGTTGTTTTCTCTTATAGCTTTTAATAGTGTTTCTTTGGGTTGTATTTTTGACATCTTGACTGTAATCTGATGTGGAGATATTCTTCTTTGGTCATGTCCACTTGGGGTTCTAGATGCCTCTTGTGTTTGAATGTCTTATTCTTTTCAAATTTTCTGCTATAATTTTGTTGGCTACATTTGCTATGCTTTTCATGTTAATCTCAACTCCTTCAGCAAATGGATTCTTAGGTTTGGTCTCTTGACCATATCCTAGAGTTTTTAGATCTTGTGGTCATGTTCTTTTAATTTATTTACTTTTTGTTATAGATGTTTGATTGTAGTATTTCATTAACTTTGCCCTCCACCCCTTAAGAGTTTCTTTTCCTGATTGGTTGTGACTATTGGTCATGCATTCCATTGTGTTTTTAAGAATTTTTTGTTTCCAACATTTCCTTTTGTTTATTTTTATTTTTTCAGGATCTTAATTTACTTGCTGAGACTTTCTTCTGTGTTGCCGACTTTTTCTTCCATATTGTTGATATTCTCGTTCATTTTCCTGGCTTTTCCTCCCATTCTACCTCCATGCTGCTGACTTTCCTCTCCAGTGGACTGGATTCATCTGTTTGTGTTCTTTCACAGATCACTCATCATTCTTACCAGAACTATTTTGAAATCTTTACTTGGTACTTTAGCCACTTAAGTGAGTTCAGTGGCGTTAGAGTTAGGAACATTTGGGAAAATCATGTTGCCTTGTTTTCTTGTGTTTCTCCCACTTTTTTGTGTTGTTGTTGTAATCTGTACATTTGTTGGTTTGGATATCTCTTCTGGGTTTGGGAGGCGTGTTGTCTTTTTATTGAACAGCCTACTCTAGAAGGCTCAATTCCTCAGTACAACTAGGTGGAAAGAGAACAAACTGTTTTTAGAAACTACATAACACTATACAAAATACAGAAATAAACTTAAAATCAATTATGGCATATCAATATATCACCAATTATTATAAAGCTGAAAATGGCAAAACCACTGCATTGCATGTTATGAAACTAAATTTTTTTGCAATAAATAAGTGTGAAATAGTAAATGAATGAGATAAGGAAGGAGCAGAGAAAGGAGAAGAAACCGGGGAGAGAAGCAAGGTTTGATAATCAGGAGAAAGAAGGGAGGTGGGTGGAGAAAGATGTAGAGAGGAGTAAGAGAAATTAATTTAAAGAAAAGGAATATAAAAAGTGACTTCTCATTAATGACAAAGTTCAGAAGGAAAATTAGGAAGCTATAAGGGAAATAAAATAATTAAAAGATGATAGTATTAAAAGTAATAGAATACTGTTAAATGTAGGAAGAAATGAAAAAGAGGAAACACAGAGAACAAGATAGAAATAGAAGAAAAGAAAGATGTTTCCCTTGAATGGAAAAATTTGCAGTCAAATGCTCTTTATAGACAGAATTAGATAAAGATATGGAGGAGAAAAGCAAGTAAAAGCACAAAACCTCTTTAAAATACCACAAAGTGAGACTCATCTAAATGCACACACAGTAAGACGGTGGGGGCTGGAGACATGGCTGAGCTGTAAAGAGAACTAGCTGCTATTTCAGAGGTGGTTTGGTTCTCAGCTCTTATATGCCAGCTCACAACAGTCTATAACTCCAGTTCCTGGCAACCTGAACCCTATTCCGGCTTCCAGGAATCCTGTATGCACACTTGCACACATGTACACATGCACGCAAAACACCTTTACTGTAGGTAGACTTTTCTTTACCACCCACAAGTTCCCAAATAACCAAGATGGAGACTCAATATTAGTTATAAATGCTTGGCTTGTAGCTCAGGCTTATTACTAACTAGCTCTTACAACTTAAGCCATTTCTATTAATCCATGTGCTGTCAAGTGGCTTGTGGCTTTACCTGTCCTATATCTTGCTCCCTCTTCATCTCTTGGTGACTCTTCTGATTCCTCCCTTTTTCTTTCCAGAGTTCTCCCCAGTCTGGTTCTCACCTGATCTTATCCTGTGCAGCTATTGGCCAATCAGCTTATTTATTAAACCAATCACAGTGTAATTTACACAATGTCCAGAAGGATTATTCCACAGCACTACATCCAGCCATGTCCAGGACTGTAAAAATAAGGAAACCCTCATGAATTGCCTCAAGATCTTGGGGAGGGCGCCCTAGGGAGGTACCTCCCTCTTCACTGTGCTTGTCCAGGCCTCAGTCTCTTCATGCTGACCTCCTTTGATCTTTTTTCCTGCTCTTCTGCGACAGGCCTGGCCGTATTCTGCTCCTTTGCCTGGGGTAGTCTTCCCTCTTCTCTTCTTCATTCCTCATTTGTGTCCAGTGTCTCCATTGTACAGGCTCTCTTGACATTTAAATGAGCACCCTGTCCCTTCCCCTGTTTCTGTACACTCTCCCCCATTCTGCCTTGCCATGCCTATACTTTCACTATTTGGCAACAGTTTGCTGATGCTTGTATCTGTCAAAAGGCCCGAGCCTCCAAGAGTTTACATCTCCCCTGACTTTCTTCAGGCTTCATCACAATGAGCACTCAAGTCCTAGTTCTGTGAATGGGTTTTTAGGAAGGAGGAGAATGTTCCACTATGTCTCAGTCACTGTTCTGTTGCTGTGAAGAGACACCATGACCTCAGCAACTCTTGTAAAGGAAAGCATCTAGTTGGTGCTCACTTAAACAGTTTCAGAAGTTCAGTCCATTATCATCATGGCGGGAAGCATGGTGGCACACAGGCAGACGTGGTGCTGGAGAAAGCAGAGATTTCTTCATCCAGATCCGTGGGAAGCAGGAAGAGAGAGTGACTCTAGGCCTGGCTTGGGCTTCTGAGACCTCCAAGCCCACCCTCAGTGACACACTTCCTCTAACAGGCCATGCCTCCTAATCTTTTCAAATAGTGCCACTCTTCTCTGGTGGTCTAGTGGTTAGAATTCGGTGCTCTCTCTCTCTCTCTCTCTTCCTCTCTCTCAAATAGTGCCACTCCCTGTGAGCCTGTGGGGGCCATTTTCATTCGAATCAGCACACTTTCCCATCTACAGTGACTGCTAACTTTTCTCAGGCTCATTGATGCTTTTTTTGACGGTTCACCTTCAGCTGTGGAAAACATGACATTACTTGAAATCTTTCCTTGTGGTTGTAGGCAGCAGATGACCTTAAGAATTGTTTAATGACATCATCACAAATACACTCCTTTCTAGTCTCTTTTTAAATCACATGGATGAGTAAATTAACCAGCGTAGCTATGTTCACTAAGATAAATTACAAAATAGATATGGGCAATTTATTTTAGAATAAATTATGCAAATAAGGTGAAGTCTAATTTGATAGATTTGATTTTGTCATCAGCTTGCCTGTTTCACCTTGAACAGCTTCTCTACCCAGCTCCCAGCAGTTCTAAAATGTTCAATGTAAACACCCTTTGAAAAACACAGAACTTCAGACAAATTTAAACGAAAGATGCAGATGATTCTTGAAACTTACAAGTGGGGCATTTATGAAATTTTCCCCAAACAGCTCTTGAGTGAGCATTCCTGGTTGAACACCTGCTGGGGCCCATGAGATAATCCCATTCTGCATGTTCAGGTTTAAGATTTCGTCTCCAGGCTGGGCTGTAGCCAGCACAGTAAATGATTCATGCAATGGGACTCAGGGGATGTGGAAAATCGATGCCTTATGAAGATGGAGCCTGCATGGGAGATGGCATTTGCAGCCACCTGGCGAGGGTACATTCAATGCCTCTCAGGCTGGGTGTTAGATTATGCCGATCCAGGCTGGCTACTAAACCAATTAGTTTGCAAAGCAGCCACCTTTACTCCTGTCAAGAACATTTCAGATGACAGTAAAGATGGATATAGCTTTAAAGATGAAGGCAGGGGATAAAGAAAAACAGCTTTTTTTTTTTTTTTTTTTTTTTTTTTTTGAGAAATTGTGATAGATTTTTCTTTACTGTCTAAACACCTCGAATGCAAATACTGAGATGTGGTGGAAATGGAGGGACATGCAACTGTGGGCAACTCATCACACACAGGATGATGCTGTACCGATCATGGGATGAGGCTCAATGTTTTCTTTCACAGTGGTTCTCATGTGAGTGTGAACTTGTGTGTCATAGTCAATATGATGTGCGTGTTCTTTACACACAGAACAGTCGTAAAGCTCAAAAGCTCACTGAGAACTCCTGTGAGGGCTAGAGAGAAGGCTCCTCGGATAAAGGTACCTGCTGAGTGTTATACTCAGGATTTACATGGTAGAAAGAGAACAATACCGTGGTGGAAGTTGTCCTTTGCCGCTACTTGTGCTATGACATGCATGCTAGCGTGCGCATGCGCGCGCGCACACACACACACACACACACACACACAATTTTAAAAAATTCTGATCCTCTGTGGCCATCAGATCTGAGCACTCCACGGGGTGGAGTCGAAACCACTTTGGCCACCCTCGTGTTGTTGCTAAGTGGATGATAAAACATGTTCTGTTGAGCTTTGGACTCCAGCCTGCTGCTGAAATTTTAAGGGAATGGATGCTATAATACTTGGAAATCAAGTGAACCACACTTACTTTTTCAGCCAGAAAACAGAGGCGTCTCTCCAAGCAGGCAGTAGCTGTTGCCAAGAGAAAGGGCTGCTGACTTGGTGAGCGAGCCTCAGTTCTGGTTTCATAAAACACCTTCTGCCGTCTGTGCAGACTATATCTTTGCAGTGTTCCATTGCTCTCCTTGTCTCTGTGTATTGACTCCGCTGAGGAGTGTGTACCCTGAGGGTACAGTAGCTTTCTGAGCTCCCTCTGCTCCTTAGCCACTGGGCAGGCAGTCTTGGATGTAAATGTCAAACCAGATGTCACAGCCTCCACAAGATTTTCAGGGATAGAAGATCTGATGGCAGGTTAAGAAGACTCTTCATTTATCCCATCTCTTTGGGATTTCTAGAAGCTTCAAGGCCAAGAGCAGGGCCCACTTTTCTGTTAGACCTCTAGGAAAATGGGCCCATAGGCCTAGCCCCTGCCTGTTGGTTTGTGTGTGCACCTTCAAAATGTCCTTTTCATGGTCAAGAATAGTTGATTCTCAGAGGGCATGATCACTGATCATTGAAGATGTAGCTGAGTGTGTGATAGTATTCTCCCATAACTAGGTTAGTGAAAAGTGCCTTGACATGTGTTCCTATCCACACCCTTCTCTGGATCCTTTATCTAGACACCAGGGAAAGACTTACCATGGCAGCGATGACCCTGCAGGGTAATGGGGGTAATAGGAAAACCTATTTGCACTTTCCTTTTGCATCCTGTTCATAATGGCCAGACATTTCCATTTGTATGCAGGTTTGCAAAGAGGACATCATCCGACATTACCAACCAATGCCAACCAGAGGTGACATCCAGTCCTTCCAATTTGTCCCTGTCGACAGAGGCTGATGGAAGGTCAGGGGCAGCTAATGTTTTAAAATCCTCAGCCCAAAGCATCCGCCTCACAGGAGAGTGTACTCTCCTTTGTCCTTCTTTCCTTCCAGCATTTCGGCTGTCCCTATGGAAGAACCACTCCCAAGTGCCTTTTCTCATTTGCTTTTTCACAGTTTTCTAGTTTATCCTCACGACAGAAGTTGATGCTTCCCTGTTGCACAGGAAGGGACAGAGGCTCAGGGATGTGGATCACATATTGGAGCTGGGATTAAAGTGAGGCTGTTGTGATCAGAAAGCCTGTGCTCTTCCAACAGCTGTGTGGAGTTTCTCTAATGGGTGTTTACATCAACAACTTACTGTTCGTCTCTCACTTATAAAAAGAATAGATCATTATTTCTAAAGAGGATTGAAAAGCATACCAATGACCCTAAAATCATTTATAGCCTTGTATTCTATCGGCAGTCACTGTTGATGCCCACTGGACGTGCAAACCTCAGCTTCTACCTTGCTTCTCCTAAAGGGATGTCCGCTTCCCAGGCTGCTTCTTTTGTGGGGGTGAGATGGGGGAAATGATATATGTTCTGGCAGTTATGATTAAAGGAGATGTTTCTAAAGATCTTTGTCCACTAGGGAAGCAGTGAAAACTTGCTGGTGTTATGACCCTACTTTGAGCTTTTCAGTGTCCCAGTGACTATTTTAAACTCACTGTGTTTGCTGAATTATTTGTACCATATGAGTATGTCTCATTTGACAGATTTCCTTTATTTGGTTGTACTGTTTAATGAATATCCTTCTTTCTGCCTCACTAAGAGTTGACTATTTGGATAGTTTTCTTTCTTCTGACCCTTGTAAATTGTTTTGGGGCTGGGGATGATGAGAGGACACAAGAGTGGGAGACCTTATCTTTCTCTGCAAAATGTTATTTATTTTTGAAAACACGTGAAAGAAATATTAAGCTAAATGATAAACTATTACTATTTATTGGCTCTGAGAGGTAACTACATGGGGCCTGACCTTATTTTCTGAGCTGTTTGTAAATATGTGATGGTTGATAATTTAACACTTAAATATTATGACCCAAGGATGAATATTCTTACACACAGAGCTTTACTCATTTACAGGGCTAATTCCTCAGCAGGGAGTCTAAAGTGGCCGTATCGGGGGTGAAGTTCTACCTTTAAGTTCACTGGAAGGGTCAAGTATTTTGCAGCCTTCATTTCTGTGTTCTTGTCAATTGTGGTTTCCACCATTTTGAAATAATATTTTCAAAACGTAGAAGAATTGTGTTTCAAAAATGACTAGGGAATTAACTACTTTTCTGGCTATGAAGAGAAGCAACATCTGGAAGGAAGGCTTTACTTTGGCTCTCAGTCAGAGGAGAGACAGTCCATCACAGTGGGGGCAGGGGAAGCACAGGTAGTCAGGAAACAGAGTGTGAACAGGAAGTGGGGCTGTGGTAAAAAACCTCAAGCCCCACCCCCCACAGTGACTCCAGACTTCTAGTAAGGCTCTGTCTCTTAAAGGTTCCACATCCTTCCCGAACGCATTCGTCAACTGGGAACCAAGTGTTCTAACACATGGTGCTTTGGTGACATTTCACATCCAAACCAAAATGAATGTATTCTTGGTTTTTCTTTGTAATTTGTCAGCGACCCTTAATGTTAAAGATATTAAATTTTGATTTGGATTATTCACAGAAAATAATCTTTCCTAGTTTCGATGACCCATATGTGGAGTTAGTGCTGTAGCACGCTGACTGTGACAATTTATCCTGTGCCATTGCTGTCTCTGCCCTCAGACCTGCAGTGGAAGTCTGGGCACATGGCCGAGAGCCTCACCAACATGCCCCGGCACTCACTCTACATCATCATCGGAGCCCTCTGTGTGGCCTTTGTGCTCATGCTCATCATCCTGATTGTGGGCATCTGTCGCATCAGCCGCATTGAGTACCAGGGCTCCTCCCGGCCAGCCTATGAGGAATTCTACAACTGCCGCAGCATTGACAGTGAGTTCAGCAATGCCATCGCGTCCATCCGGCATGCCAGGTAAGCTCTGGGGGTCTGCAGTAAGGGAGACATCATACCTGGGATCCCAGTTATGCTATCATTAGGACTGTACAGCCACAAGGGAGGGTCTTAAAAAAAAAAAACACAGACTGAAGACAGAGCTCTAGCCCATTTCATGAGCAGCCCTTTAAACCTGTGGCTAGCTTTGTTTACTCTGAATGTATTCATTCATTTAATTTGTGCTGATGTGCAACTGTATACATATGATTTTTCATTACGGTGCATTGAACATTTTTTAAAAATATGTCTCTGTGTGTGCATGCGTATGTATGGATGTCTATACATGTCACTTCTGTGTGTGTGTATGTGTGTGTGTGTGTGTGTGTGTGCATGTAGGCCTGAGAGTAACCTGCATCATCTTCAGATGCTGTTTAGTTCCTTTGGAACAGACAGGGTGTCTCAAGTTAGAGGCCTGGTGCTCACCAATTTGGTCTGGATTGGCCAGCCAGATGCTCTAGGAATCTTGTTGTCTCTGCCTCCCTGGTGACTACAGGCCCATGCCGCCATGCCTAGCATTTTTATGTGGGTTCTAGGATTGAATTTAAGTCATCTGTTGTCAAGGTAAGTGTTTTACTGAGAGATCCCCTTAGCCTAATTTCTATCTTGCTTTTAAAGCAGTCACAATGAATATAGATTATCCTCTTGGATTTCAGGGCCTACAGAAGTCATGATGAGTCACTGTCACCTGATGCTTAGAGTTTGTGTTTTGGAATTCAGAGCTGTTTCCTGGAGGAAAGTCAGGAGTTGGTGTACGAGAGGGAGAGCAGAAGCATAGTGTGATTGGAAGTGTATTTACCCCATTTCCTGACTGCATTCCATCCAATCACTCAACCTTCCACAAGTGCAGTTCCCTCCACTCACCTCCTTAAAGAACATGGCAATTGTGTTGATGGAATGATCTGAAACATGCAATTCAGAAAGTCACTGTACCAAGTTTTAAAATAAAGATACATTTTAGGTTTTACGTGTGTGTGTGTGTGTGTGCGCGCGCGCGCGCGCCCGCGCGCCCGCGCACGTGTGTTCACATGTGTATGTGCATGTGTGAGTTTGTGTGTCTGTGTACATGTGCATGTGTGAAGATATACATAGAGCCCAGGACAGGGTATTGTATTCCCAGGGGGCTGGAATTATAGGTGGTTTTGAGCTGCCTGGAGCCAAACTCTAGTTCTTTATGAAAGCAGCAAGAGCTCTTAACCATGGAGACATCTCTCCAGCTCCCTGGGGTTGGAATGGAGAGGGCAGCTGTGGAAACTGTTGGCAGTATTTTCTTTATTAGGATAGTGTGTCAGTAAAGACACAAACAGGCCCCAAATCTGTAGAGTGGCAGCAGGAGACAGGAGGTTCAGAGTCTTCCTCCCCCAAAGGGAAGTTCCCCAATCCTGGTTTCACACTTTATAGTGACTTTGTTGCAGTAGAAACAGGAATAGAGCCTGTTTCCAGGGAGAGGAGCCAGAGATGTGAATTTGGATGACTTGGAGCATCTGCCTCAATGCCTCACTGGGAGCCACACCCTGGGCTTCTGGCTGTGCAGGAGAGGAACTAGTAGACTCATGACCCACCCACATGGCTGTGTACCTGGATGCTTCCTCTCAGGGTCAGCTCCAGCAACCCAGCTCCCAGGAAGCCCAGGGTCAGTCCACACAAGCCCCACTTTTTATGTAAACCTCTCCTTTCAGTCCTGCCTCTCCAACGGGTCCTGATACATAGCAAATGTCACTAAAATCTGAGGTCTGACATGCATAGATGATCTCAGTTTGTGTTGGCATAGGATGTTTTGTCTTGTGTGAGTCCCCAAGTACTATGGTCCTAGCCAACAGCACTAGTTCCAGTATCCTAAATCACTGGGCTGGAGGCAAAGGATGCAAAGAAGAGTGGAGAACTGACAAGTTTCCTTGGTGCTAAAGTCTCCTCTCTTGTACTCCCAGAAGGAGTTAGCTCAGAGGAGGAAGAAGAGTATAAATCTCATTATACTTGGATGTTTGGGGACCCAGACATGAGAGTTATCTATCTCAGAGGATCTGTGGCTAAGAGCCTTTGTGACCCCTCACTCCCTACGTGGCAGAATATGGCACATTGGGTCCAGACCATTTGAGAGGAATGCTGTGGGGTATGATGCTTCTACAGCTCTCTGGGAAGATAACTGAATACTCAGGCAGGAAAGAAGAGACTCGATAGCAATCACAAACCTGATTCCTATTCGTTGCTCATCTTTATCAAAATTCACAGTGCATAATCTTAGCCAGTGAGCTCCAGAGTCCTGTAGTAGTTACAGAGGAAACAGTCCACAGGAAGGGCACACCTTCCCAAGGATCTGGAATTCAGGGTTATTTCTTGCCCGAAGGACTCTGTAGCTACAACCTGATCTGCAGCCTGCTATAAAGAGCTCTGGCAAATTGGCCTTCTTTGCTCTCTATTCCTGGAAACTCTTGGAAGAGCATGGCCAAACTCAGTCCTTTTGATGTTCCCTTCTCTCTAGTTTCCAAACATGGCCTGAGGCAAATGCCCATTTCACAGGCTGTTTCCTGGCTGCTAGCCCTGAAGTGATACTGAGTTAGAATGACCATGGCCCAGTGGCCACAAGACACATTCCAAGTGAGTGGGTCACCTGAGACTTCAGGAGGGATCAAGAAACATCAGGCACCTCTGGTGTCAGCTATCAGCTGGGTTGAGAAGGCATTTCCTTTCCTCTGTCCCAGAAGCCACCTGTCCCACAGGTGCTTTGCTCAGATAGTAGAGCGATTGTCACTATCAGCAGGGGCAGATCCATGGCTCGCCATGTCTAGACAGCGAGGTCACATGTTGGTGCCTGGGTCTATCACCTAGAAGTATTTACCCACAGAAAACAAGAAAGGAAATACCAAACTTTCAGATTCAGGCCTTGCTTATGATCAGAATCACCTGACATTATTTGTGGTGGTATTTTAGCACTTTCAGGGACTCTGAGCTAGGAGAATGTGGGGTGTGTTTTTTTTTTTTCTGCCTTATTTATGACTTGCTGAACCATCTTTTGCTCCTTCAGAGAACGAGTTAGACATTCAGGACTGGTTTCCAAGTATGTTTAAGATTCTGGTGTGATGTTGATAGTATTTATACTGAGACAAACTAGGGTGGCCCACCCACCTGTAGATCCTTGGCCATATATGGCTCAGGATGGCTATAAATGGAGTTCAATACAAAATTGTAAATTTACTTAAAACATTATATAAATACATGGAAAGATAGTGTGTGTGTATATGTATATATGTATATATACATATTATCCTTTTCGTTGGCTTATTTTGGTAAATTGTATGGTTCTTGAGTGTGAGCTTGTAGATGAAAATGTAGTAGGGACAAATGAAAAAGTTACTCCCTGGAGAGCCTCTGGAGTGGCCAGTATACAGGGACACATTGGGAGCACAAGGCCAGTTCTGTGGACAAAGGAGATATGGACGGCAGTTAGACTTCCAACATGACTGCTCCTTGGCATTCATGCACCACCTTGAGGAAAACGAGTGCCCACTAGTTAGGGACTTGAAATACCGGGATGGCAGCTCCCAGTCTGTGGCTCCATTCTTCTTGTCTTAGGTGTGTGAGAGTCTGACCTCATCCAGCTTTTGTCACCAGCATGACCCTTTCTGACCCATGTGGCTGGTTTCCTTGTCATTGTGCCACCCAGCCAAGCAAGTGAGTCTGAACACAAGGCAAGGTGCCCTGTTTACACATCCTCTTTGCACATGTGCAAGTGAGTGGGCCTAGCCTTTGGCTGTCACGCACAGAGGAGCTGCAACACTCTTCCTCGAACTTTCCTTATCAGTCTTCAGCACCACGGTGACACGTAAAGTTCTTAGTCATTTGCATCACTGCTTCTTAAAACATGGCACAGAGACATCTAATTTTCCAGGCTTTAAGAAGACAGAATCTTTTTCCAACAGAAACCATATAACAAGTGGCTTTAAAAGGATGCATTGAGCTTGTTCAGTTGTTTGCATGCTTCTCATATGGCCACACAATCGATTAATTTAGTTAGCTAAATGCATATGATTCATTCTCACATCAAAGTTTCCACTGAAAATATCCCAGAGCCACCAGGCTAGGGCAAAGGAAGCCCTCAAGTTGTTGGTTTTTTCCTTCGAAATCATCATTGTTATAAATGCATCTAGCTATCTTATGAAAAATAATTTGTCAACATTTTCTATCCTTGAGAAGTTCCCTGTGTTTTCACTTGGGAAAAGCATAGAATTTAGCAATCATTAGGGTATGGCATGGGCCTCACTCAGGCAGATTAACAGGCTATGTGCTGAGGTCCGACCTCACATCAATGCCAACACATTTTAGTAAGAAGGATTACTATGAGTTTGAGGCCAGCCTGGGCTGTATAGCAAATTCCAGCCCAGCCTAGGCTACAGAGTGAGACCTTGTCTCAAACCCGTCTTCCAGCATCCCCTGCCCCCCCAAAAACAAATATTATTTGAAGAGTGTTCTTTCCCATTCATCACTTGCTCCCTCTTTTTATCTTTGTATGTGTGAAAACAGACATTCAGAAGTTAGTAAAGAGAGTGAGAAGAGGATGGGGGAGGGGTTGATTTCCTGGGGACCCTTCTTAACCTTTTCAACATTTAAGGTGGCTGTCCTTTTTTTCTGTTTTTCTTTTTCTTTTTCTTTTTTTTTTTTTAATCTCTTTTTAATGAGCCCTATTGGAAGTAAAACAAGTTATTTTTTTTTAAAGCCATATGTAAGAAGAAGAAATGATGGTAGGATCCCATGGAAGACTTTAAACTATTTCACTCCAGAGGCTTTGGGGAAAGTGAAGTCTCAGCTGGGAAGAGACCACCCAGAAGTTGATCTGGCCATGTTTTAATAATTACTCTCTGAAGACTAGTTTGGCAGAAAGTATTGCTTGGAGTTTTGACTCCTCTGGCTTTTGGGCATCACTCCTGCTGCCAAGGTCACAATGTCAATACGCATAGGTCTGTTGGGACACTAGCTTGGTACTCAGAAAAAAAGAATACTCCCGGGGGCGGAGGGAACTGGAGGGTAGGATTTGATGGTGAGCCCTGGCAGCATTTGTGGACATTTGTTGTTGGTCATTTCTTTCTGCTGTGATTTTGTGTTGGGATTTCAGATGACCTCAGAGTCTTTCCAGCATTTTCCCTCCAAACCTCCAGGGGAGAAGCTGTCTGAGTGCTACTTGGGGACCACTGCCTGCCATTGTGCATGCCAGTCATGAGAATGGATGTAACACACAACTGTCTCTCCAGTTATTTATAGGTCTTGAAGAAAAGGAGAAATGCATATACATTTTCTTAAGTCTGGTGTGGGGTTGTCCTGCCTGACTCGCTAACATTTAAACTGGGTGCTATAACATTTATCCACGTTGCCTCCTGAACTAAAGACTAATGTTTATTCCTCTTCAGTGTTAATATCAGGATGCCTCAAGTTTTTATACATGCTAAAGAATACACTTTAGAGTTAGATTCTTGAATGTTATTTTTTGATGTGATGTATTTATGCTTGTGTGAGTGTATGTATGCTGCATGTAGGTATAGGAGTATATATGTGTGTATTATATGTATGTTATGCCTGTAATGTGTGTGTGTGTGTGTGTGTGTGTGTGTGTTGTATGTAGGTATGTATATGTGAATGTGTGTAGGCCGGGAGTCCATGAACAACTACTTTCTTGGTTGTTCTGCCTACTAAGTTTTGAGTCATGGTTTCTCACTGAATCATTCTTACCACTTACCTTTAGTAGAACCCAGGGTTCAATACTCATGTAACCAGGGTCTGCTCTGTCTGTGATTCTAGGTTTGGGAAGAAATCTCGGCCTGCGATGTACGACGTGACTCCCATTGCCTATGAGGATTACAGCCCTGATGACAAGCCCTTGGTCACACTGATTAAAACAAAAGATTTGTAATCTTTTTTTTTTTTTGGGTTATTTTTCAAAAAAGATGAGATACTAAGATCATTTAAATATTTTTAAGAAAATTAAAAAGCTTAAGAAATTTAAAAACGTTAGCTGCTCATGAGTTTTCAGTAGACTACCAAGGAAATACGTTTCTGCAGCTTTTAGTTTAAAAAGTATTTTAAAACAAACCAGAACTTGTGAAATCCATAGACCATGTTTTAATGTACGTTCAGCTCTCAACACTGTCTACTTCGACATGTATGGGCTCTTTTGACAGTAGACCCTACCATGAAACCCAGATGGACTTCTGTGGTTGTGACAGAGTTAAATCTTACATAGGAGGAGTTTCTTTTGACGTGTGAGTGCCGGCTTTCTGAGTAGAGTTAGGAAAATAAGTAGCGTATGATGCATAATTCAGTATAATCGTTACTTAATACGATGTGAAGTCTGAGATGTTTGTTTTGTGAAAAAGAAAACTAGTTACATTTATTATTCCTAACCCGAATGAAATTAGCCTCCGCCTTATTCTGTGCATGGGTAAGTAACTTATTTTCTGCACTGTTCTGTTGGACTCTGAGGAAAACTTTCGAGTTTGTTAGTCATTTTTGTAACAATCCTTGAACTTGACCTTGTAAACACAAACAAGGGAAGGGTCTAGGGAGGCGAACACTGATCAGTTTCAACCTATATATATTTTCTCCTTTTAAAAGTCAAGTGTTTTTCTTCTTAATTATGAGTGGATTAAATTACGTTGCAGGTGTTTCTTGCTAAGAAGTAGTGACACGTAAGAGGTACTGGTCCCTTCTGTAGTGTTTCTCATAGTGCACCTTTATTTATACCCAAGACATTTTTGTGGCTGTATTTGATTGATCTGTGCTTCTTATGATTCTTGCTGATTTCAAAGAATATTGAATAAACGTTAGCAGGTCAAGGATCTACTCGTCTCATTCTTTAAATTAACCTGAAATGTTTCAAATATGATACTGGCTGTCAGCCCATGCAACTGTTTATGACATTTAAAAAGCCCAAGGGACGGCTTGTAAGTGGTTTGAATATATCTCTAAGAGATTCATGTGTTGAAGGCATGATCTTCAAGAATTGGGACCTTTAAGAGGGTGAGGCCGGGGAGAAGTCTTTAAGATTGGGAGTTGCCTTTAAAAAGGACTAAGGTAATTGTCATGAAAACCCATTACAAGACAGTTCAGATCCTGAGTGTCTTTCTGGTTTCCCTTATGACACCACGACTCCCACTGTCAAGATAGCATTCACCATGAGTCCCATTATGGAGGGCAACCTGATCTTGAATTTAAGCCTCCATTTAGAGCTAAATTGGCCCCTCTTTCTTTATAAAACTAGCTCATATCAGATAACTGTTTCAGGACTAACATAGCATCTCTGGTTGCCAGAGCTATTCTCTCCACTCTTAGAATCTTTATCACTTCTTAATTCATGAACTTACAGAGGTAAATAAAACCAACTTATTAAGGGTTGCTATGAAAAAGACAAACTCAGAGAAAGGCTGAAGCTGCCGCTGATCCCTTGCTGTGTCTCTGCTGTTTGGGTCTCCCTCATGCCAAGCCAGAGCCAGAGCAAGCACGTGTGCTCCTACCCTTCAGCTTTTAGGCCTACCCCTCATAGGCAGAGCAGACCATATCTTAGGGCTTGCTGCCCAGAATCATTGGCTAAACTGATCAATCCCACAAAAACTTCCTAATGTTTGGTGTTGTTTGTCAGCATGAAGAGTGGGACGAGAATCAGGAAGTTCTTGTCTAAAGCCATGAGTCCGCATTTGCTCATGAGATGCAGGTTTTGTCCACGTTGAACAGACATGAGATCCAAGGATATGTCCACTCATAATAGTCAGGTGCCTCAAGAAATATCTTCCGTGGTGCTCTTCTTTGTAGGTGGAATGAAATTGCCTCAGAGAATAGCTCCTCACCCTTAGAAACCTGAAGGCAGTTTAGAGTCTCTATGCACCCAATTTAACTCTTCTCCAAACCCTGTATCAAAGTCCCACTGTCATTTTTTTTTTTTTGGTGGGGGGGAGTGTATCTTTCACTTTACTTGGAACCATTTGATAAGGTCAAAAGACATTGGGAAATCAGGTGTGAGGGCAGGCATTAAGGGAAAAGTAATTTCAGATGCTTTTCCATCTCTGGCTACCCTCAGAACATCTGTCCTTCATCTAACAAATGACATAACAGTACACCTACATCCTAATTATTAAACAACGCAGTGCAATATGCTAGCATTCCAAGTGTTTGGAAATAAAGTAAGAATTAACTGTCTTAGTTACATAACTTGTAGAAATATGCTGCAGAGTCGTTTTAGATAAAGACACGTGAACGGATGACAGGAGAGGGCCTGACAGAGCTGGCTTACTACAACTCTGTCTCTATGGATCTCTCTTCCATGCTACAGAGCAGTGTCCATAGGGCTGCATGTCTTCTCAGGCCGTTTTCACTCTCTGATTTTTAAAACTGCTCTGTGTTTCTCTGTGCTGTCTCGTCCTCTCCCTTTAAAGATGTTGTATGCAGGTGTGTGACTGCACATGTGGAAGCCACAGATAGGTACCAGGTGTCTTCTATTATCCTCCATCTTGTCCTCTTGAGACAAGCTCTGGAGCTCACCAATCCTTTGGGTAGGTTGGTCAGCCAGCAAGCTCCAGGGATTCTCATCTTACCCCCTTTTGCAGCATGGGCTTTATGGGAAAGTGAGGACATACTGTGCTCCTACTTGGTTGCTGAGGATCAATTGCTGGGGACCCAAACCCAGGTTCCCATGCTTGAACAGTAAGGGCTCTAGCCCACTAAGCCTTCTCTGCCACCACAATGGATACTCACCTCATTGAGCACCAGTTCTGGGTTGGAACAACAAGAGCCTCTGAGAAGAATCCGAACTTGCAAGTTGGGTTTGCTTTAAACCAGCCTTTCGCCTAGTAAGCAAATGCATATGGAATTACCCATCTACGAACATACTAAAGGGAAGATGAACCCTGGCCTGTGGCAATGTATTTATAGCAGAGCAGATTAAAACTTTGCTTTAATCATCTACTTGAAAATGGTTTGAGCAACTAACCGTGTGTGCTTAAGCTTCACAATTTGGAAAAGAGATTTTGATAATGATAGAGCAGATTGCATGTATATTGTGTTCGCCACCTCCAGTAAATGTGAAGCATTCAGCATGTCTTTTGTTACTATGGATGCTGGTGTTCTTATTTTTAGATGTGGCTATTATCACAAATTAGGTTAATACATCCTTTTTGATGGTAAGTGCTTATGGCCGACAGTGTATCATGATGTCAGCAGGAAACATCTCCAAGGTGTCAAGTCCTCCAGAACCACACTGAAGTTGTCACTGTACTACTCACGAAGTCAGCATTTGATAAGCAAGGCTAACTGCTTGGAACTTCAGGAACTTGTGATGGCTTCTGACTTCATGGGGTCAAATCAACCTTGTTCTATTCGTGTGCTCCCACAATGCTGGATGGACAGGCATATCTATGGTCTACAAATGTTACAGTAGTGTCCCCATAAGGTTGAATGGGACAAGCATAGCTATAGTCTATAAATGGTGTAGCAGTATCTCTATAATGTGGTGTGGACCTGCATAGCTCTAGTCTACATGGTGCAGTCATGTCTGTAGCCCGCTGGGGAGGGATTTTATAAGCTCTCCTTTCTTGCAGGGAAGTGGAAGTAGTACATACCAGTAAGTTGCTTCCAAAGGTCCTCAGCAAAATTGGGTGCTCATTTCTCTAAATACCTATAGTCTCTACTTAGCACAAGGAGGATTACAATTCCTGTCCTCGGACCCTTTACCTTTGTCAAGTAGTCATTCAAGCCTAGTGCTTCTGTTTATTCCAGGAGGCTATGTGTAGAAATTGTACCTTGAATTATTTGCTCTGGTTATCTTCTCTACCAGAACTGAGGGCCTGGTTAGATCCTTTTCTCAAATGATGTTCTACAGCAAGTTTTAAAAAAATCCTAGGCACAAGTATACTGAAATCAGAATTTTTAATCATGATAGATTTCATAGTTTATTAATAGGGACAGACGTGAAGGGCCACAACAAAGAAAACTGTATGTCATCAATCACCAAGTTTTAAGTAGCTATTCACAACCACTCTGTACTATGGGCTGCCGCCGCCCCAGTCATTCCTTGACTCCTCTTCCAGATGAACTAGCAAGGCCAAGTGCCGTCTTTCTCAGCTCCCTTTGTTCTTAGAGCTGAACACGTGGGCTTTGGTGTTGGTCAGTGTGGAACTGATGGGAGATGTCATTCTGTATATGTTTCTCATACTGGTTAATGAATAAAGCACTTTTGGCCAATAGGAAAGCAAGATAGGAGGGACTAGGAGACAAGGAGGAAAGAGGAAGTAGTGAGGAGGGGTCAAGATGGAGAGACTGGGGAAAGCAGAATGCCAGGCGGCTCCCCGGTAAGAGAAATACATAGATCAGCAGATATGGGTTAATAATTAAGACAGAGCTAGCCAATAAGAAACTAGTAACGGGCCAACAGAATTATATCAAATACAGAGTCTCAGTGTGTTAATTGGGGCTGGTGCGGCGGCGGGACAAGACCAGGCGGTGGGAGGAAAAACCGTACTCCTTACAGTCAGTGGAACCTTTAAGGAAATCTCCTGAGAAGTCCTGAAAGTATTTCACCCCCCAAGGAATGATGGGACTACTAGAGAATCCTTGGATGTTTCCAATAAGGGGGACCCAAACTCTTTCCTGCTCCAACAGAAAGGATCTGGACTTTTGTGTTCATCACAGTAGGATCCCATCATCCCTAATTTGACTCCACTGTCACTCACCCTCACCCTTCACAAAGCAGAGAAGGTAGTAAAAATGGTTAATTTAGACCATGTATTGGTAAACTTAGATCCTATCCTCACCTCCTCCAAGGCAACTCTCAGCTGAAGTGATTTCTTATCTCTTCCTTGTTTTCAGTGTCCTTAACAGTTCTCAGTAGTATTGGCCAAGTATTGTATATATTGCTCTTCTGTGTATACTTGTGAATGTTTGACTCATAACCAGCCAGAGTCTATAGCTTTGGGGAAGAGGACCACAGAGATCAAATGTAGGTTTCATCATATCCTATCAAGGGCACCCACTGTCAACACGGCGTACTTACCTTACCTTCTGAAGCAGTGCTTGTCAAGCTTCTATAC